TTTCCACTTTCTCCCCGCGACTCCCCGTGTGATAACGTCCATAGAAATGCTTTGTTGGGGGAGCTGCATTGATAAAAATATAGGTTTTGATGGGTAGCATTGGGAGGCATAGCTCTGGAGAAGTGGCTCTATTTTTGTAGATATATTTCCTAATGCATGATTGCAGCCTCTATTTCCTGTTTGCAGAACAGGAAGATTTGCAGCCTGCCTCATGCAGTTGTTTTAAAGATGGAGAAGATAGGATTCAGTCATATAATCATAGAGCTGGAGGTGTTACCTGAACCAATTGCTCTAGTGTAAATACAGAGCTAACCAGATGCTCTTGGACTGCAGTTCCCAATAGCAGAATCCATCATAGCCATTAGTGAAGAATTTGGAGAATTACAGTTCAAAGCCACCTGAACCTGCTGCAGTAAAATCCAAATACTTGCCCTTAAGCAAGATATTGTGTTCTTCAAGCATTCCTAAGAGTAGGGATGGAAAGGATATTTGGGTACAGAAGGAGCTTTCTAAATGTCCAAGCCCCAACAAGGAAAATCCTCCTGAAGTTCCTTTCTTGTCTCCTCCAACCCCCCAACTCTTGATTAAACTTGAAGACCACTCCTGCCTCCTCACCACAGACTCATCTATTTCCTATAATCTGAGGCTGGAAGGCTGGGGAAGGCAACCTGGTGAAGAACGTTGTTGTTCTGGGCTGTGTTCCTATAGTCAATTCACAACAATATCATTTGCATTATCATGAACCAGCTATCAGATCACAGGTGGCAAAGCTACACCTTCCTGGATTCTCAGCTGTCATCCCTCCACTGTCCCAATAATGTCACATAATATGCAGGTGCTTGGGAGCCACAAGAGGATCCTGGAACACTATAGCCTCATTGAGCCTCATGACTTTCCTTCCCAGCTTCCTGACATCACATGGAGATGGGGAAGGGGTGGACACCATTAGAAGATCCTGCAGGAAAAGTGCCTCTTGATTCTTACCTGACTTCCTCCTCCCAGTTTCAAATTGGAATGGAGATCCAAGAGGGATCATGGAAGGCTGTCACCTCCCCATCCTTGCCTGGCTTCCTCCCCTTTCAGGTGTCATATGAGGGCAGGTATAGGGAGCCAAGGGACAGTGCAGGAAAGCTATAGCCTCCATGATCCTAAGTTGCCCCCCCCCCATGTTGTATGGGGCAAGTGGGAAAGAGACCCCTGCAAGGCCTTTTTGAAAATGGTTGAAGGAAAATGGATTAAATCAATTGTTCTTCATTGAAGGAGCAAATAATTTAACACAACACTTTCCTACCTAAGAGAATGCTATTTTACATCCAGAAAAAGAGGTTCCACAATTGTCCAAGCATCCCATTTCATTGCTGAACCACAGTACTTTATCTTTGAAATAGAAATAGCTTTTCAGAGGCAAGAATAATATTGTTCATTTTCTGAGTCTTCAGTTAAGCCTTTAAGAAAGAACAAGAAGGTTGTGTAGAGAGAGAGAAAGATATTTCTCATTCATCTAAGTTATTATAATGGAAAGTTATTATGAGATTATATTAACCAAGAAGAATTTGGAAGCCAAGGCTAGTGAATAATCCCTTAGGAAAATCCCTTAGGCTTGCTTTGAATAAAAATCTTTTCCTTCTTCATATGTCAAGGCTCAGATTTTGGTCTCTTTCAGCTCAAATGTTAAGGCACCTGATATTTTGTTTGGTTAAGAAAAGTTTTACCATTTTGCTGGAAAATATTGGAGAATTTATTAGGATGTAGATATTCTGACTTATCTGTTATCTCTGCTCTCTGTTGGATGATTATTGTCTCTAAAAAAAATAGCATGGGGTTGGGGGAGAAAGCATAAAAGAATCCAGGTTAGATGATGTCATAGTTACTGGGTATAAATGATTCTTATATTTTGATTAATGACAAACAAGGAATCAAATAAGGAATCAAATGTTATTTTATTATTACTGTTATTTATTATTAATATTATTAAAATGTATAAATTTTGGGTAGTTTTTATGCCAAAAAAATCCCCAAAATGTCTTGAATTTTTTTAAAAAAAAGACATCTGGGGGCTTTGGGAGTTCAGACGCCACACTTAGTGATGCCAAAGACCACATGTGGCTCATGAACTGCACTTTACCCACCGCTGCTATACACCAATGAGGACAGCAATTCATGAATATGTTGGTTCTCTTCCAGTCTCCTCTAATATTGCATTTAAAAACTGATGTGTTTTAAAACTGAATTAATATTCTTTGACCCAGTACTGGATATGTTATAATCAAATATGAATACACACAAAGCATTCACACATTTATGTAAATATCATTCTGCAGGTAAGAGGAATGCATTTAATTTTACACAAGTTACTTTTTTCCTTCCATCCTGGGATCACAGTTTACCAGGTAAAAATTGCAGAATATTTTTCAAACGTGAGAAATTGCCTGAGCTACTTCAAGAATGAAACCCAGTAATGCAAACATGATAAACTATCTTAGTATAATGAAGCCATACCAGTAACTCCTGCTACGTGAACAGCTAACAAAAATTTTTTCCATTAGTCTAACTGAATTTACCTGACCATTTTCCTACCATCATTTTTCCATATCAGAAATTGCTTATTTTAAGCAGGCATTCATTTACATGAGTTAACACATATAGGTCCATGCAAATTGCTGATTCTCTGAAATTAAACTGAAAGTACTTCTCAGTACATGTAGTCCCAGGGAGGTAATCAATAAAATTACAAAGTGTTTTTTCTGCTAGCATTCCTGTTGTTGTTGCTGCTGCTACTATGGCTGCAGCCACACTGCAAAAGTAACCCAGTTTGACACCACTAACTGCCATGGCTCCATGCTATGAAATTCTGGGAATTATAGTATTGTGAGACATTTAGTATCTCTGTCAGAGAGCTCGAGTGCCCCACCAAACTACAATTTCCAGAATTGGATAGCATGGAGCCATGGCAGTTAAAGGAGTAGAACAGATGGGTAAGAACAGCAGCTTGAACTTGCATTTTCTGGAAGCGAGTTACCGTAAGTAGCAAGTGGCAAGTACCTTTCTATATTGCTTATCAGTAAACTAAGCACTCCCTAAGCAGTTTACAATGTGTAATTGCCCCCAACAAGCTGGGTACTCATTTTAGTGACCTCGGAAGGATGCCAGGCTGAGTCGACCCTGAGTCCTTGGCTGGTATCGAATTCACAAACTTTTGGTTTGTAAGTGAGTGGCTGCAGTACAGACATTTAACCTCTGTGCCACCAGGCTTCCCGCTGTCCACACTGGACACTCCCAAGATGGCCCAAACTGGATTATTTCTGCAGTGCGGATGCAGTCTTTAACTGTATTTGCTCTGCACTAGAGTGAAAAATAGTAAAGACTGTGGCCCAAATTCTGTTGTTAGTTCAGACTGGAGGAGACATCACAGTGACAGAGGAGAGAAGCAGAAGGACTCAGATATTCCCTTCAATGTTTCAATGCAGACTAAAATCAAGCAGAGCATCAAGGAAGAGGAGAGGATGTGATAAGAACCTTTCCCCCCTTCTGTCCAGGAAGAGAAAAATATTGGCCAGAATCCTTATCATCATCATTATTATTACTGTTATCATTAATTGTTATTATTGTTTATTTATATAGTGTCATCCATGTATATGGTGAGAGCCAGTGTGGCCTAGTGATTTGAGTGCTGGACTATAAATCAGGAGACCAGGGTTTAAATCCCACTGGGTGACCTTGGGCAAGTCACAATTTCTCAGCCTCAGGAGAAGGTAATGGTAAACTTCCTCTGAACAAATTTTGCCCCCCCCCCCAAAAAAAGCCCATGATATACTGTTGGTTTGGTAAACTGTCTTGTTGCAAAGTTCAGACAAAATGGAACAATATTATTAGCTGGGGAAATCCTGGTTTAATTGTGAATCACACAAAAGAAGGAGCACAGGACGTTTATGCAAGTTAACCTTAGTTTCTAGTCCTTTCCTTTTGAAAATGAAATTGTGGATGTATCTTGTTTTTAAGTGAGTGACTCATTTTGGGAGCCTATCTGTAATGTATTGATGTGATATTGGATAAAACCAAACACATGTGCACACGCACACACAGACACACATACACATCTCTTCATCATCAGTTAATTAACTTCTGTTGCTGAAGGGCTTTCAAGTCTATTTTCTTCTGTTTATTTTTATTCTAATTCAAATATGTAATGGAGAGAAAGGCATCAATTAAAAAGAAGACCTTCAAACAGCTGATGGAGCATGGTCATTGGGAAGGGAATGCTCAATGTTGGGAGTGAAACAAAAAAATGGGCAGAAGAGTAATGGGGAAAAAAGAGAAATCCTGACAAAAACCATACCTGCAATGTTTCACTGTAGGTCTTTCTTGTTTATTTGTATTTTACACATGAGAATCATCTTCTTCCAAACAAGGTGATAGCATATTGTTGTTGTTGTTGTTGTTGTTGTTTTATCTGACTTTCACAGTATGCCAGGTGGTACTGACTGGAATTTTGATCCATCAGTGATTCAGATTCTAGCCAAGAAGCTAGGAATTAGTGAAGTATTGTTGGATAACGTGGCATGCTCTGTATATACTCTTGTTTCTTTGAGGGGTTACAATTGGGGAGGGGGATGTAAATGACATTGCTGATTTTAAAATGTCTACATCTGTACAAATACAGTGGGCCCTTGGTATGCACTGGGATTTGGTTCTAGGACACATACCCCATGGATACCAAAATCCATGGATGCTCATGTCCCATTATATACAGTGGATAGTAAAAGGGTGTCCCTTATATAAAATGACAAAATCAAGATTTGCTTTTGGGAATTTATATTTTAAAAAAAAAAATTCAAACTGTGGATGGTTGAACCCATGGATAAAGAATCTGTGGATACAGAGGACCAACTCTACAAATAGAAAAGAAGATAAAAATGAGGAAAAAGAATGAGAATGCAACATGGGGGAGGAAAGGTGGGCAAGAAGAGCAACCTGCCTCTGGACGTTATCACACGGGGTCTAAAGCAGTGCCATCCCTGTTGCATCCCCGTCCCATTCCGCTTCCTTTTCCCCTGTGTTCACACGACGTCGCAGAGAAACCCCGACCATCCCCGTCCCATCCCCATTCCATTGCGGTTTTTTTGCCCATGTCTTCACACGACGTCGCACCCATCCCCGTCCCATCCCCGTCCCATCCCTGTCCCATTGCGGCATCATCCGGCATCATCCCCGTTCTTTTGAATGCCGGATTCTTTTGGGAATTATATTTCTGCCGCAATCAGAATGATACCGGAATGATGCTGCTTTCTTTTTGCCGTAAGTTCTGGATTGAAAAGGAACCGCAATGAAACAGGGATGCGACGGGGATGGGACTGCTTTAGGCCCCGTGTGATAACATCCACTGTTAGGAACCCTAAGAGGCAATGACAAGAGGCAAAGATGAGAAACCCCTCTTGATGTGGAAACACAGCTTTAACTTGTGGGTTAAAGCTGAACTTGTCACTTCATAACCATACCCACAGGTTTTGCGTTTTAATGGCTATTCATACATTCATATTATAAACATTCTTCCTAGGCACCAGTTCACTTCATACATCTGAGGAAGTAGACCAAGGAGTTTATCACACAGTGAGCGCCATGCAAAATCGCTCTTTAAAGTAAAAAAAACAACAACGCAAAAGCAGAAGCTTTTAATGAATGAGATTTCTCCCGTTCTGCCCTGTGTGAAATGTGAAAGCGCTATTAAAAGGAGGTTAATCCGAATGGAAATTAGATGAAAACTGCTTCTTTTTACTTTTGGGATCTTCTGAAAGTAAAAAGAAGCAGTTTTTGTCTAATTTCCATTTGGATTAATCTCCTTTTAACAGCGACGTCGTCTGAAAAAACACCCACTTTTGCGGGTTTTGTTTAATTTAAAGCCCCGTTTCCACACGGGATTTCCCCCGTGTGATAAACTCCCAAGTCTAGGAAAGCTACACTGTCTTTTGCTCAGTTAGTGTTAATGATGCTACAAGATCCCTTTGCATAGTTTTTTTTTTTTTTTAGTTTGAGTAGAGAAATAAGCTGGAGCAGGGATCTAAGCTCATTTTCAAAGGGTGCAGCCAAGAGGTCAGAATCAGTGTTTCAGGGGCTAAGCAGATGGCCAATTGGGCCGTTTTGGGGGCAGGGAAGGGAAGGGGCAGCTGTACGATTGGCGCCCCAACCCCTTCCCCAGGTCGTCCTCGGAGCAGCCGGCCCTCTGCATGGCCGGCACTCCAAGGAGGACCTCCCACTGCAGCGTCCACACACACTGCACCGGAAGAGTCACCCAGTGCTTTTGCGACGCAACTTTGGCGACTTGTGAAAGGAGCACCAATTTAGTGCTCCTTTCCAGGGGCGGCGAAGGTGCGCTGCAGGGCTGAGGTGTGGGGATACCTCGGCCCCACGGCGCAGCTTCCCGGGGCGGCCCACGGCCGCCCGTCTGCTTCCCCCCTCAGTGCCTGAGGTTGGGGTGGGGGAAATAGGTTGAGTTTCCCATATCTAAAATGCTTGGGACCAGAAGTGTTTTGGATTTCAGATGTTTTTGGATTTTGGAATATTTACATATACATAATGAAATCTCATGCAAATGGGACCCATGTCTAAAAATGCAATTCATCTATGTTTTGTATACACAATATAAACACATGCATAATATTTAATAATTTTATGCATGAAACAAAGTTTGTGTACACTAAACCATCAGAGAATAAAAGTGTCACAATCTCAGCCACCCATGTGTACAACTTTGAATTTTGGAATATTTCAGATTTCAGAATTCCGGATAAGGGTTACTCAACCTGTATTAGCAATGTAAGGCTAAAACATGAGAGAGAAAAGAAGTTGAAACAAAGTACTAAGCTCAGATGAAATCATGGTTTACTTAATGCTGATAGTAATGCTGAGCTGGTACACTCCCCATTACTTATTATGTCTTCTTCCTTGGCTTGCTGGCTTCTGGGCTTGTATTGGGATTGCTTTAAATCAGTTTTCCTTTACAGTGAAAATGGGAAACTAAAGTAACCATGATACCAGTGCCAAAGCCAGTGTGCAGAGAGTGAAAAGGGCTTATTAAAGCCAGAATTGATAATCCAAATCAGCCCATTAGCTGGTTTGAGGCATGATGTGGGGAAAATGTAATAAAATTCACTGCAGATAGCCTTGAGGGCACTTGCTCTCCCTGGACCCCTGTTTACCTGACAAGAGGCTAATCTCAGCCTGCTTTCAGATAATCCTCAAAAGGTCATCAACATACTAACATTTAGGGTCCGCAAATTAGCTAAAGATGCCCAGTGTCCTATTTATTTCTAGGTTATCAGCTGACCTCCTTTCCTGTGCAACAAGCACTAAACCAGCTATAGAAACTGGGATAGTGTGGGGGTTTTTCTATGCTATGAACTGTGATTGATCCTGTTTACAATGGCTTAGGTTACTTGCAACTAAATTATGTATGTTTGTGAACTAAGTTTATCTTTATTATTTAATCAATAAATTGATTCAAAACATCCTAGACAACCAAAACATCTTTAAATTCTTTAATGACTGAAAACAGAGTTGCCTAATAACCTCCCTTAGATTTTGAGGAAATTGGACTCAGTATCTTGAATTAATGTTTGTATTGCAAGAAGAATGATTAGATTCTTCTCCTTCTACAGGTTCTCTGCAGTAACAGCTTGCTAGAATCAGCAGACTACTGGCTACATAATCAGAAGATACCATGCAGAATTGGTATAGTGGAAGACGAGTTAGAAAAGAACTACACTTCAGTAAGTCCTTTGCAAGATTTGAACACTTGAGGAAGAGTTGTGAAGGGAGAGTATTATTTCTGATATCTCTTGTCCAAATTGACTTATATGATAATGGATAGCATTTTGTTCTCTGTGTAATTCTTCCCACATATGTGGGCAAGGATGGGTAGTGCAGAAGAACCTCAAAGCAAAGCAAGCCTTTCCCCAATCTGGTACTCTCCAGAGGTGTTGAAATATGTGTCCCATCGCCCTAGGCCTAGGGTTACCATTTGTCCCGAAAAAGCAGGACAGTCATGGTTTTAAGGGTTCTGGAAAAAATGTCCCAGCCTAGTTTCAGATGCATGTCCCAGTTTAACCCTAAGTCTTGGAGATGTCTCGGACGAAGGAAAGTGGGAAGGGATGCCACTTCCCTCCCAAGAGTAAAAGCTGGGCTGGAAAGGTAAGGTAAGAAGTTCCCCAGAATTTAAAGGGGGGAGCAGGGGGGAGGAGTGCATGCTCAGTGGGAGGGGGCTTTGGGGTTGCCCCAGTTGTCCCAGCGACAGCTGCTCAGGGACCACAGCTCCAGGCTGACAGCCAGTCACTGAAAATAGAAAGAGGAGGAGAAGGAGGAGAGCATTGCAAGGTTGTTGTCACTTTCTTATTTGTTTAATTTTTTTTTACAAACAGCTTCTGGTGAGGGGGCTAAAGGGATGCTTAGTGGCTAAATGCCTGTACTGCAGCCACTCACTCATAGACCACAAGGTTGCGAGTTCAGTACTAGCCAGGGCTCAGGCTAGACTCAGGCCTGCATCCTTCCAAGGTCGCTAAAATGAGTACCCAACTGTTGGAGGGCAATGAGCTTACAGTTGTAAACTGCTTCGACAACCCATAGCGCAATATGAAACGGTATATAAAAATGAAGCTGCTATTTGCTTTTAATAATAATAATAATAATAATAATAATAATAATAATAATAATAATAATAAAC